GCTGAAAAAAGATTCTTCTATTTTGACTCCTCTGGTTTCTAAATAGACTCTTTGTTCATTTGGTTACGATTTCTTAGGTCTATAAAGCCCTATATAATATTGGCACTGTAAGTTGTAGTACCAAAACCAATTCACCATATATTATGTGGAACATTAACCAAAAGAAGATTCATTACACAGTAAAGAGATCAGAGTATATTTATTTTCGAGTCATTTCTTATATTCGAAACAGTACTTTATTCATATGCCCTTTCTTGTTGCAAAAGAAACAGATATTTTTTGTTGCTCTTTTGCTTTGTTGACATTTTGTTCTTCATTTTACAGGGTCATATTTACCATTGTTCTCTTTTCCTTTATCATGAGTTATTATATGATCAGTTTTGAACTTCTCGTGCTTTGGCCTTTGTTCCTCTTGAACACATATTGTTAGGAGTTCATTCATATTCTATTTTTCCTTATGTGTGTTACATGATATTTTAAATATACCATACTCAATAGAATAGAGTTTAGAATGAGATGAAAAAGGAATGACTCAAAAATCTCTATCTCCAAGAATTTAAAACATGTAGCAATGTCTATCATTTTCATTATGTGCTCCATCATGCTCTTGCACACTCTTTTGCACAAATATGGCACGTGCATTCGTGCACATGTGGGTTCATACACTCTTTTGCACAAATACGGCACACGTGCACTCTTCTACATACACATGCTCTTAGTCTCATTCTCTTGCTCAAATATGACGTTAGAGTCTCTATTGCACAAATATGGCAAGTGTACGGGCACATACGCGGTGTTCACACACTTTCACTCTTTTCACAAATACGGCACACATGCACTCTTCCGTACACACATACTCTCACAGTCTCACTCTCTTGCTCAAGTATGACACTACACACATGTAGAGTCTCTTGTGCACAAGTATGGCACATGCATCCGTGTTCACACTCACTCTTTTGCACAAATACGACACACGTGCACTCTTCCACACACGAGCTCTCAGTCTCGCTCTTTTGCACTAATGTGATGCACACATGTAGAGTCTCTTGCAAGCGCATTTTCCGATTTCTTTGTGTTCATTACATACAACTATTGCTTCGAAACTTACAATAGAAAGACGAATGAACCACTTGTTATCTGTGGTACAATTATCTCTTAGCTGGGTGCATGATATTCAAGTTTTGAATGTATGCAATCTCCATTTGCAAAGTACTTAACACTTCGGATAATGAAGCGATTAACAAAATTATATGATAAAAAGGTTGACGCCCCTTACTTAAAAATTAATATCATAACTAAATAATTAATTTTTTCTTGCTCTACCACTGGTTTTTAAGCTGTCATTATTACTTTTAATTAATTGCAGTCATTTACTTCAATTATTTAGCTACGTGATGGTAAAAGATTAAAAAAGGATTTGCTGCAGAGGTCATACTGTTATTTCAGAATAAATTTTGTACAAAAATAATATATAATCGACAAGAAAATTAAGTACAGGCATATGGATCAGGGATGCCTGGGATCGCACGTTTTGTGCTACCTAATTGCCTCTCTTGAAATTTAATACCTCTCTCTCTCTCTCTCTCTCTCTCTCTCTCTCTCTCTCTCTCTCTNTCTCTCTCTCTCTCTCTCTCTCTCTCTCTCTGCATATATACATAGATATATAATTATTAGTCCCAAAACTAAAATGACTACGCAGTGGATAAAATGATCAGGGGACGTCTTGGAAATATAAAATAATTAGTTACTTTCTGTTAAATTGTAAAATTTAATTATTGTTACTGTACGAAGTCCGTATGCGAATCAATCTTCACGGTAAGATCATCACGAGAGTTGGAAGGGAGGCAGAGAGTCCCCTCCCGAAGGGTGTGGAGGATGGAGGCCGTAAATTAAAAATTTTCGTCATAAAGAAGAGATAGGTTAAAAAAAATAGTGTTAAATTTATTCTCATCTTAATGAATTATTGTAACGGCGAATGAGGACGTAGACATAGTTTCTAATTTTCAACACTTTCTTCCAAAGTGTGACAACTAGACCACATTCAATTCGAGTTCTCTGTATAGAATAGAATTAGTGTCCCATGGTGTGCATGAAAGTAAGCACGTATAATTACTGACTCCAACCATTATTTAAATTTCCGAGTGTCTCTCTTTCGAAAATCAATGAGTGAAGGTACAATTGAATTCAGTGCAGAAAGATATGCTACAAAACCCTAACAGATTTCAGTGAAGGTAGCAGAAAACAGTGAAAAATTAGGGAAACACTATTTGTACAATCATTAGAATACACCCCTTACACATTAAGGTGGGACCCACTAATTGAAAACAATGAAAAATTAGGGAAAACTCATTTGGACAGTTATTAGAGGGGTCTGTACACATAGCATCTCTCGAAAAATTAATCCATTGGTATTCACTATTCATTATTCAATAACATTCTGTGTCACACAAAGTCAATCGTACCTAGTGTGAATCAAGTTTTACATTCCACCACATGTCAAACTACCATTTGACAGTTTAAACAAAAAAATAAAATAAAATAAAAATTCACCAATCAAATCTTGCTAACAAAGATAATGTCAAGCATGACGTCGAAATACGATGTGCAAGTGGCTTTATCCAAACAAAATTCACCACAAAATGCAGATACTCAGCCCTGGCTATCCTTCACTAAAAACTATGTGCCCTCTTTCAGTCCGTATATTAAAAATGTTATCAAGCATGAGGAAATCGAAAGCATCGCGAGGAGTTTCTATTAATCGACTAGAAGATTTAGATTCTCGACAAACTATGAAAAAATGAGATCAGAACGAATTGGCTCGCTTCACAGGATGACTTGACATATAGATAAATCTTGTAGACTTGTCAGTTTAACTTACTAGTTCAAGCTTGTTTGGCCTAGTGCAATAAAAACTAACATAATATTGAAACAAGAACATAAGCTTTCAATTTTTATTTTTTATTTTTCAATTGTGTTTTAATTTTAAATCTTATTAAATCTCATAAAATATAAATAAAAATGACATCTAACCAACCTAAACCAACTTGAAATATTCTCCAGTCTAAGGGCAAATTCGGGAACATTTCATGTCCCTTTTTTTCCAAGCTCAAAGCAATGTCTTATCAAATAAGAACACTGAAGGAACTCGAACATTAACCCCATATTCAATGTTCGTGATGTTATAATTTTGAACAATATCGATAAATACAAGTATATTTTGGTCAAGCCCCACTCTTAGTAATGTGAAGAAAAATTCGATCGACCATGTCGGTGAATCATGCAGTGCACTTAAAAAGCCACAACTAACGCCACAAAATGTGACATTCTTGCATCTAGATGAGGTTATCGGTATGGTCAAATGCAATAATTCATGACAAATTTTCAATGAACAACTGGAATTTTGTCCATGAAATAAAGGGTACTTCCAACCGACATGTATGTATTGGTACCTCAATTTGAAATAAATGCTTTAGCAATGATAAGAGTCTAACGGTGGACATGGTTCCATTTTGTTCCAATTTCAAAAAAAATTGAACCAAATCATGAACCAATGATTTTTTTGATAATGGAACAAAATGATTTTTTTTCTTTTTAAGATATGAAACCAAATTGGAACCGAACCGACAGTTCTAATTTGATTTGGTTTGTTCTGGTTTCATTACTGATTGAGGAAAAAAGAAAAATAACATTTGAATAAGAAGAATTGAAGGTTGATGATTCAATTTCAAAAATACATGCGACTATGGTAGCTGAACAAGACGGTAGACAGCGGGTGACAGTTGTTGATCTTCATTTGAGAGTCATTGTATAAATTGAAAAAGGAGAAAAAATGATAAACAAATTAGGGTCTGAATCTCCAAAATGAATTAGGGTCCCCAATCTTCATATTGAGAAATGAGAAATTGAAGGTACGTGACCATTTCGTCCTGATTTTCAAATGAATTTTGAATTTTTTTTATGTGAATTGTAAGTCACTAATTTGTAAATATATAAAATAATAAAATTTAAATATTGAGTTTGATTTTTGTTCTAGAACTAGAACCGAACCAAATGGTTCTCACTTCTAAGAGCCAAAACCATTATTTTTTTATTAGAACCGAACCGCTCAATTTGATTTGTTTGTGGTTTTGTTTGGTCATTTTGTCCACCCCTATTCTTCATTCTCGTCTCCTTCTTTGGAATTTGCAACTTAATTCAAGAATAATGCTATTCATGCACTTCCAATGTCTAAAAATGCATCCAAAGGTCATTAGATAACATAGCTGTGGAATCAAAGATCGATGATTATCTGGACTCTGGATAAATAGCATTCAAATAAATTTTTTTATCCCTTTTTCGAATAAATCGCCAATGTAGGATAGGACGTATTAATCATTATTAGTAGAGATCATCATCGGTTCTTTTGGTATAAAGCCCCATAATTTCATTATTCAGTAGAGTTGTTACTTCTTTGAAAAGTATAATCAATAAGGGCGTATTTGATTGCATTTAATTTCCATCGAAAAAGTTATTTCCACACAAATTTCTACTTTAAAGTGTTTGAATATTATTTTTTCCAAGGAAAATATTTTCCAACTTTTAATAATATGCATTATTTTCTTTTCTTTTTTAAGGAAAACATTTTATTTGAGAGGAGTAGATTTTTGTTCTCCTCAAAATAAGGAAAATATTTTCTTTTTTATGATATATTTTCTATATCAATCAAACACGCTCTAGGATTTTAATTTTCCATGCTACTCAAAGAACAAATAAGAAAAGCAGAAAATCCTTGAATTACAAAACTGGGTTCAAGAAATTGCCAGATTTTGGCAAATTAAACTTCAAATAGGACATTAGAAGCTATGCTCTACTTTTTCTGAATCCATTTTTTCCTGATTAATTCAAAAGAAACACTGCAAAACTCGACAAGCTAGGAATAATTTGTTTTTTAGAAAATTAATTAAACTAAAGAAAATTAGAGAAATTTCTCTAAATTGATCTTCCAAGAATACCCTCCATAGCTAAATAAGCTGCCGAAAATCAGGCCCGATATGTTGATGAATCAAGTAATCATCGCCATTAGATACATCGAACATCGTGTTCGGATGAAGAAATTGTTGCTGCTGGGCTCTAACCATCTCCTTTTGTCGACGCAGTTCTAAAACTTTCCTGTGAGAATTGGAATGTTTAGTAAGCATGAAAGTCGGGCTTGCTGCCGGCCTGTACTCGGGAACGAGTCGACCTGACTTGTAACGCACACCACATGCATTACAAAGTGTTTTAGGCCCCATGGGCCCTGTACGCCATTGGGGCGTCTTATCCGTCGCACAGTGCAGGCACTTCCGCCCCTCGCCCCCATTCATGGTGGCTGCATTATCTGAACCCTCCTTCTTTTGCGGCACTTTCACAAGCTTCTTCCCGGAGCTTGGGACTACGTCAGACTCCGATGAGGATGAGACTGCAGGCGGCGTTTTGACTGCGGGCGGGGTTGGGGACACCACAGAGAGACGGGATGTCCAGTTTCCAGGGGCGGTGCGTGACCGCTTGCTGCGTGCCTTGGCCGGGACCGACATATCGGGGCCGAGCATTCTGGCATTTCTGGTGGTTTCCGGCTGGCATTGGTATGGGTGAGTTCCTGAAACTTCATCAGCAGGGGCCTCCATTCCTTGTATCAGCTGCAGTTTCTGCAAATCTTCACTGGAAAATGATTCCTCCACAAAATTCGATAGCCATTCCAATTCAGCCAAATCATCATACTGTATATTTTCCATGCAAGAATTGTTTTATTAATTCAAAGATTAAAAAAATTTAGAGAATTTTCACGAATTTCTAACATTACCGGCACGTAAAGTTCACTGGAGAACTGGCCATCGGCGAAACTCCGGCAGCCACCAATATTATCACCGGCGAAATGAGTGTCAGCTCTTCTTCCAGAGAAGGATGAATTGCATGAGGTGTCTACCACCGTGACAGTGGAGGAGTCGGTCGAGATTCCGGTCATCACTGCCTCGAATGGCCCATCCGTTACCATTCCATCCTCATTCGGGAAGTCTAAAAGGTCCTCAATGATGAAATGATCACCATTTTTCACGTCGGAAAGACGTTTTTCCGTCGTCAATTGAGGATTACAGTAACCTCCCTGGAAGAATTCTGTATTTTCCATTGAATTTTCTTGAATTCAAAAGGTCTGAACAAGAGAATAAAATTAATGAAATGGACTAGTATGTATATGTAATATGTATATGTGTGTATAGAGAGAGAAAGAGTTAGGAGTGAAAGTTTTGGAGGAGAGAGAGAGGTGGGGGAAGAAGTGAGGAGAGAGGGGTTTATTTGCGTTTGAAGGGGACAGTCGGATGGCTAAAAAAATGGATTTCGACGAGGAAAAAATATGGCTTTAAAAAAAAGTAAAGATTTGGTAGTTTCAAAATATTAAAAATATTAAAAATATGGGATATTTCCTTCCAAAATTACTAAATTATCCCCTCATTTATGGTACACATTGGTATAATTTGTTGGTCCACACGTGAGGTGTGATGTCGGGGATGAATAGGAATGGCCTTTACTTAAGAAGTATGTCATCTCAAGAGACACTTTATGGGGTAAGATGGCAAATTTCACTTTAAAAAGTACAATGGCATACAAGTAGGAATTAGGGATACTAGCTTTTGTATGAAAACATAAAATCATAGTAGTAGTTAGACATTGATCACATTAATGTCGAATTAGCGAAGAGCTCAAATTGTCACCAAGAAATGTGCGGAAAATTTTTATTCTCGTCAAGTACTTCAAAGACGTAATTCACTTTATTTATATGTGTTTGCAGTGCATCATTGAACAAGACTGCATGGATAATACGAAAAATATAATATTTGTAATTTTTTATTAATTTTAATTTATTCGATTCTAAAAATGCTTATTTCTCTTATAAAATTTAACATAATTAAAAAGGATTAAGGGCATATTTGGAAATTTCACAAAATATAAATAGGATAAAACATCATAAATATTGCCCAATACAATTTATCTTTCCTAATGAACCGATCAAATCGGTTGAAATGTTCAAATAAGTTGTTAGTCCAATATTATTAATTCAATTGATAATTTTTTTTTTTTTTCCAACGATGAAGAACCTATTATATCACCCAAAATAAATAAAAATGAGTCCTACATTTTATCTACCTAGGTCCAAACCTTTTGTGCAAATAAGTAAAGCAACAACCATATAATCATGTAAAGGTTGCTTATAAGTTACAATCAGATGTGTGTTCGAGAGGAAAACACAAATTAACGAAAAGCTGATCCACAATACGAAGAACTTAATTTTATTAAACTATTGAAAACAATTCAACGATTCCTCGAATTCGAAATGTAAAAATGGAAATGGTTAATGAAGATTGAGAGGTGCAACCTTTCTTTGTTTAAACGGTCATAAAATTATTCTTGACTTTAACTTTTGAAAAAAAAAAAATTAAGTTAATTAATCTTCAAATTCAACTCCTTTGGAACCGATCTTGCAGGTTTGTCGCTGCGGCTCGTGCATTAACATCCAAGTTTACAGCCCGATTCCTCTGCTTTAACATCGGAACTCGTGCTTAAAATATTAATTTTTTTATTTTTAAATTATTAAATTTCTGATTTTCAGCCTTATTTTATTCCCTTTAACGTATTTTTAACCTTTTGCTTATTTTATTATATGTATTTCAGATTTCAGACAGCCCCCACTAACAAGCACGAAGTTTACAACTAAGTAGATGAAAATCGACGGCTTGAAATCCTCCGCGTGTCAATATTGTGACGAGATCATTGGTACATTTGTTTTCAGAATTTACCGTCGCGGATTCGAGCAAGTCGTGGACACGTGTCGACTGTGGATTAGCAATAACAGTTATAGTGGGGCCTACTTAAATTAACACCGATCCCTACGCTGAGGAGTGGATAAGAGTGTTACTGCTGTCATTTATTGACAAAACTTTTTGCCCTTTAAGAATTAACCTACCTAATTGTTTATTACCTGAAGCAATGTCCAAATAGCACATGACAGAGTGAAGAGTGTGTCAGCCAAGCATGTGAGTACCCAAGCCAAAAGAGTCGGTAGTCAATGCCACGTGGCAAGAATCTAAGAGGGTTTCACCTTTCCATGATGCCTCCAACGATATTTTAGCTTCACGGCGACGTGTGAGCACGTGCGTCTAAATGCATTTCAGGGGTGGGGTCAACCACGTGACATGTCACGTGGAAGGGACATCACCCTCCCGGCTTTTGCTTTCGGAGTGGGCTGCTTGTCATAACCCATGTTAAGGTCTACACTCCACACTAAGAATAAATAATTAAAGTAGAAAAATTAAAGTGGAAATAAGATTGTGCTTTCAACGTCTCTTCGAAATTTGGTAAACATAAACAAGTTAGAAAGATGTAGGCATCTACTAAAATTAACACAATTTGCTGTTTTCTAAAAATTGAAAATAAGGTAGAGATACGAGAAATTATGAAAATTTATGCATTCGTAACGTCGTGAAAGTATGAAATTCATGACCTAGGTGAATAAAACGAATTCTTAGACCAGGTTGCGATTAAGTTCAAATATATTCTACATTAAAGCTGTGTTTGGTAGCAATTTTTCTAACAAAAAAAAAAAAAAAATTCTGACTGTTTACATCAAAGTCAACCGCAAAGTTTGACTGATCCTCTCACATGCGGGTCCCACTGACAACATTAAACAATCACAGTTTTAATTAAAATTGGGCCAAAATTGCTACCAAACATGCACTAAATCAACTTAGTAGAAAGTGGATACATGTGGAAGGTATATGCTAGAACTGTTATAACCGAAAAATTAATCCAATTAAATTGTTTTCGAATATCTTCTCGGACATAGGCTGCATTACTAATTTCATTTATAATTCTAACTAATCTTCAATTTTCCTAAACGAACAACAATGAGATTGGAACATGCAATCTTTGTTTGTTCTACCACTATATTGAATTACATCGACAAAATAATATAGTCATTGTTTGGTACTCATTATTTTCAAAAAAATATTTTTATTTCTCATTTTCAACCGCACATTTTTTAATAAAATAATATTACACTCAAACCCAAAAATTTTCCTTATTTTTTAACCACACATTCTACAACAAAATATTATTCCAAAATACATTTTGTACAAAAATGGGGATTAAACAGACAGTATATTATTTATTTTAATCTTCGTTCTAAACAATTAGGGTGCATTTGATTGCAAGGGTAGAAAATGGGTGGAAAGAAAATGATTTCCAGGGAAAACAATTGCCTAGAAAATATTTTGTAGGGAATTGGTAATTAAGTGTGTTTGATTGGTATAATTTTCCACTCCGAAAAATTTTTAAATTTTTTATTCGTTTGACTTTATTTTACATAGAAAGTGTCTATTAAAGTGATAGTTTTTTTCACAATTGGTTATAAAATTTGTTTCTATTGCAAAAAAGTAAAAAAAAAAAAAAAAGGAAAAAAAAAATTGTTTCCTAAAAAATCATTTTTTTAATCAAAATTTAGTATTCGTTTGACTTTGTTTTACATGAAAATTATCAACTAAAGTGAAATTTTTTTTATACTTGGTTATGACATTTGTTTACATTGCAAAAAAAAAAAAAAAATTGCAACAGCCTTATGGAAAATTTTCGTCCAAAACAAGGAAATAAAGCGCGTGGGGGGGTTGCAGGGGAAAAAATTTTTCATGAAAGATTGTTGTCATCAAATAGTCAAAAAGTGAAAAAATTGAAAATCGATGGAAAATCAAGGCCATCAAACAGGGCCTTATAGTAAATTGGAATGGTCTCAAGTCCCTTTACTTTTTCCTAGATTCTCATTGAAGAGCACTATATTTCTTGAAAGTTTTGTTGCACCACTTTTATGAATAATTTTTTTTCCTAATCTTCTAGCTTTATCCAATGTTATACCACTTTAGGGATACATTTAATAAAAAAAAAAGGAAGGAAAACTCAATCTAAAGCAAATTCATTGATATTAATAAGGCTTGTAAGAGGCTTTGAGAACGAAAAGTGAACATCTTGATACTTCATAAAAAATTGAGCAGAATACTCTCTTTACTTTTTTTGTTCGAGTTTTCGAGCCTTAGAAATATTACTTTGAGAAGTAATAGAAGATTATAGACCTTAGAATAAGGTTCAGATTCTTTACAAGGAAAGCATGGAAGAGTAAAATCGTAATTTCTATAAGAAAGAAACAATTTGACCGACCAATTATTTTAATTGAGTCATAATTTTATTTTAGTAATGTATGAGCACGAAATGGCTCTCAATTAATTTGAGTGAATCTGATAAGTAGAATTCATTTCAGACTTAGCCACCTTGATAGAATTCAAAGTCAGCCAATATAGCCCACGTGCTGCAGAGAAATCACCTATCCATGGCTATTTAAGATAGAGTAATGCTATTCATCCCCACTGGGGATGAAAACACAGTCTATGTGGCGCTAATGTGGCATTAAATGATAGATGAAATTAAATAAGTCATTTAATTTCACCTTTCATTTAACCTATCATTTAATAAAGATCTTGAAAATATCAATTCGGTTAGTGTAATGTTATTCATCCCCAGTGGGTATGAAAACATAGTCTATTTGACGCTAATGTGGCATTAAATGATAGATGAAATTAAATAAGTCATTTAATTTCACCTTTCATTTAACCTATCATTTAATAACATATAGATTGTGTTTTTATCCCCACTGGGGATGAATAACATTACTCTTTAAGATATCATCGAGGAGAAGGCCTTTGTCAAACAGTCGGCTACTTGATCACACGATGGAACATATGTCGCTATTCGACATGTGAAGTTCGTGCATAGAAAACTGCATTTTCAGTCAGAGTGGCCACCCCAAATTTATCACGCCAAGGAATTGTAGTCTTAGGCGACGGAAATTGGATTTCACAGAGTAAAGAACGTAAAACATTAATTCATCTACCAAGTGAGCCAAGACACGATCTTTGAACTCCGAACTTGAACGTGTAACAAAATGTTGTTTCTTGAATGACCAAGAAACAAGATTACCAACAAGAAAAACACAATAACCAGAATATTATGTGAAGTTCATAAAAGAGAAAATAAGATCTGGCAATGGAGGGAAAAGACGGTAGAAGCTGTTGAATTGAGCCGAATTCG